AGGAAGTCAAACGAGATGAAGAGGACCCCTAAACACAAATCCGTTTCCCCAAGGACAGAATTTATGGTATTTATGGATAAACTAGGTGTCAGAGGTATGGGGAAAAGAAGACTGGCGCTAAGAAAAGGTGAAGTGTGTGATATCCTACACATGCAGAAACAAACTTCATGACTCTACTTCTAGGACTAATGTTCATAAAATGGCCCTGTTAATATGACCTGAGGGTGGAATTTTGGACATGAGACATCAAAAGTCTCCCTCTGGACAGTTGTGCAGGCCCAGGTTGAAAGGGCCTGAAGTTTGCAACAGTGTAAGCCTGATGATCTCCAAATTTAACACACACAAAAACAAACAAACAAACAGAAAAGATATTCATTACCAAGGTGACCTTGCAGCAGAGGTGTTCACTGAAATCAAGCTAGCAGAGGTCTCTCTAGTCACTGTTCAAAAGGGACTTCAGTGATGAAGCACTTATTAGGCAGTTTATTCAAGTTTTCTCTGGGTTTCAACAGACTTACACAAGACTGAGTCCTTCCATCTTGGATGGGGGAGGGACTCATGAAGCTCCTCCCCTCCCTGAGAAGTTCTTGGCAATGTATGTTGCTGGGTGATGGGGTGTCATGCTCCTTAGTGGTATAGCCACCGTAAGCTGCCCCTGTTCAAGTAGATAACACCCACCTATGTTCATACAAGCTATCCTAATTAAACTCAGTGGGTCACAAAGTGAAGAAGACAAAGAAAGGGGGACATGAAAGCAGGACAGAGGGGACTTGCTGGGAAGAAGGGTTTGGTGAGAGTGTGGGGGATACGAGAAGACAATACAAGGGGAATATGATCAAAGAACACTGTACATAAGAAACTGAAAGAAGCAATTCTTTTGAACATTAAATATTTATAAATTTTGGTCTTAAATTTTTTAAATATTGAGGGAGAATCGCTTGAGGCTGCTTACAGAGAAAAAATTGATTTCATTATGAGCACTCAGTTATGTTGGACTAGTACCTTCTGCTCCATTGTTACTGCGAGCTGAGGGATAAAGTAGACACATTGATGATCAACTTACACATTAGAAACTTTAGCAGAATTGCTTCATTGAAAACTATTTAGAGTTGTCAAATAAGATTTATAGGAAGCTTTTGGTTGGACTGAGTTCCTGCACTAGGTTCAGTAGACCTAATCAAAATGGAGTCGTTCATGTTCAAGTTGAAGTTCCAGGTACCAAGTCAAACTAAGTTGTTTTTCTGACCTTATCTGACTTTCCCAACCTTCCCAGAAGCAGAGAGAAGCTTCCTATTCTGGACACCTCTGCCGCCATGCCTCCCTGCCATAAGGGACTCTTATTTCTCTGGACTCATAAGCCCAATAAACTCTTCCTTCTATAAGTGACCTTGGTCATGGTGTTTTAGCACAGAATCAGAAAAGTAACTAACACAGATACAATTTCAGGTAACAGTCTAATAAAGATGTAATGGATCAGGTAAAGTGACAGTGACCAGAGTGCTATTTTTGAAAGGTCAAGAAGGCTTTTTAAAGAAAAGTGACATCTGAGCAGGGACATGGAGGAAGAAAGGGAACTGGGCCTGGTTCTGAGGGGACAGCATGGCAGTTGTGCAGCCAGACGAGGCCCTGAGTAGGAAAGAGAATGCCCCATTGTTCTGATAAAAGGACCTCCCAAAGAGAGATCTCTCAACCTCTGAGGTATTTAAGAGTCACTGGGTTCCTGTGGTGGTGGTGGTGGTGTTACTGTTTATAAGGCCAGTGATGCAAATTTCATTTCATTGTTGGCCAATTTGAGAGTTTCACTTTTGTTTAGGAATGTAAGTCTAGTACAAAGATACTGTCTTATCTGTAAGGGTAGAGGACAGAGTCCAGGGACCAAGGAGCCAAGAGGTTGTTATGAAAAGAAGAAAGAGAAGGCTTCCCAAGGAAGGGACCAGAGTCAAAAGGCAAGTTCAGTCTGTCCCCCAGTCACAGCTCTGGTCTTCCTTTGCATCTCTTTTCTTGGTTGTCTTCCTCATTTTTCTCTGGGTTCAACAGGTTTAGTCAGTTAGGCTGATGGGCCTTATCTCATTCCTGATGGAGGAGCTGCAGTGTGGGGACCACTCACTGCCCTCTCATCCTTTGTATCCAGGCAACAGTGTGTGATGAGCACTGGAGCAGCCTTGTGGAGGGGCAAAAGGGGAACAGAGGAAGTCAGGGAAGGGAGTAGGGCTACTTAGGATACAGGAGAGTGACAGAGTACCAATATTCCCCAAGGAAAGTTCCAGGGCCATTGTGCGCAAATATTTGAGTCCAGGGTCTACCATACTCTTCACGAAAGGGTTGCCTTCTTAAACCATAAAACAGCCTGTCCAGAATCATAGGCTCTTCTATTTTCCCTCTGCATAGTGGCTCAGGGATTGAATTTACACTAAAATCCAAGGCTAGTTCTGACCCAACCATTAAAAGCTTATCACAAAAGGCTGCCTTTTTCCAGAAGCCCAAGGGATTCAGCTCTCAACTGACTAGCAGGGACTCCTCCAACACATAAACACACAGACAGACACACAGGCACACATACAAAGAGAGAGAGAGAGAGAGAGAGAGAGAGAGAGAGAGAGAGAGAGAGAGAGAGAGAAATACAGAACCACAGAGAGAAAAAGTGACAGAGACAGATACACAGAAAAATCAGTAAGGCAGTTTGGTGGAAGACCAGCAGACCATGTGAATCAGACAAATAAACTAATCCATGGAATCAGACGCTGTTCCTTTCTAAACCAGTTGTTGGATGCTAGAGAGACACTTCCTACTTGCCAAGTGTCCACTAGGCTGAGTGTCAGGCAAGTCCATGAGCATAAACCCTGAAAACAGCACACAGATGAAATTCTTCTCTGGTCAAAACAAACTCTGGGGAGGGCAGGATTTGCTTGGAGGTCACCTCCATCTCTGCCTGGGCCTGGGTTACCACAGTTCACCAGGAAAACTTCTTGGAACTTGCAAAGCTCCAAATCTGGCCTTGGGGAGTCCATGACCCTTGGCTTCCCCTCAGCTCCTCCTCTGTGATCAGAAGATAGGTTTCATAAGCACATGTTGCACAGCTCTTACTGTTCCCATCAGAGCACAGAAGAGAACCTGTGTTTGCCAGTTTATGCTTTGGATGAGCAGTTCCATCTGAAGATAGCAGCAGACACATCCAGGGTATGGTTCTGTGGTGACGTCTGCAGGCAGAGGCACCCTTTTCACCCTCCTTCCTCACTGTACACACTGCCTCTCTGTCTCTCCTTCCCTGTGGTGAGGACACATATGGAAAGGAAATGGGGACCTGCCAGTGCAGCTGCTTCCCAGGAGGCTGGCCAGCCCTGGTGGAGCTAGTGGGGAGGCAGAGAGCAGTCAGGAGTCTCCCAGCACTGAGATGTCAGCTGAGCTGTGTGGGACTCAGGGGGTTAAAGGTCTCAAAGCTGCTAGGACCTTCCTAGCTTCCTTTCTCATTCCTGCCCTGCTGTGTCCTATCTTTCTCCCTTAGTAGTACTGAGTCCCAGGCACAGGATGTTAATGTGGAAGAAAGAGGATGTGACTTTGAGCCAGGCAGAAGGAACATTTCCAAGGCCACTGATGACAATGCTGGGTGTAGACCCCTTGTGGTTCTCAGCCTTGTGCTCTTCCACAAATGCTGAGGTGAACATACTTCTGGAGCTGAGCTCTGAGACAATCTCATAGATCCAGGCCTTGGCTGTAAATAGTAACCACCTGTCAACATCAAAAGTAAGACATGTTCCAGGTAGCTGTAACACCCTAGAGACTACTAATTGCCGCATCGCCATGGGTTAGGCAGTCTGAATAGTGTCTCAGATCTAGTAGATGTGTTCAATCTCTTTACAGTCCACCCTCACCATTCACAGCATGATTTAGCCCTACCAACACCATTTGGCTACAAATTATCCTGAAATTACAGATATATAGGAAAGAAGGATCCTTATAGAGCCTGCAGTTCAATCAGCTCTCAATATTAAAAGCAGAGGCAGGTCTAAGTCAGCCTGCACAGCTGTCTGTGTCTACAGATTTCTTTGAGGTCAGAAGATCCAGCAGTCATCTGTGTAGTGAATTGGAATAGTTAGCAGTTGAGCTGTAGAATTCGAGCTGGAATGGTCAGCCTCTTCAAGTCATTTGTCTGACAATCTACACTGCAGAGGTCCTATTAGAAAGTAGCATGCATTCATCCAGTCCCGACATCTGCTGTCCTCTGGGGGTACCTCTGCTCTATGGTATGTCTTAATGTAGCTGAACCAAAGGGCCCCTAGGTTTAAATCCATACCCCACTCCCAGCTCCAAGCTGTTCAAGGCTGCTGATAGCACGCAGCTGGGAGGGTTGCAAAGGGAGCAGAGAGATAGGCTACGAACATACCTGGATGTTCTCAACTTGAACCCCGCCTGGCATAGAACTGGTATGCCCCTAATACGTCAAGCTCTAGAAGAGCCTACAATGACCGTCTCTACCTCACAATGGGGAAACTGAGGCTTGTAGGAAGTAGGAGCCTAACCTGGATCTCATTGCAAGTTGACTCTGACCTCCACTCCTGGCCCTGTTACCTGAGCCACATTCCAAGACTACACTGGGCAAAGTACCTGCTCCATTTCAGGGAATTGAGCTGTTGGTTTTTCATTTACACAAAAATGAAAAATAAATACCAGATGTTTGAAAGCCTAGTACAACCCAAGTTGCTGGAACTTAAAAAGTGCATTCTCACTGGAAAAAAAATTCAATCAGAAAATCCACAAAGCCAAAAAGATGTTTTGAATGAAAATGTACTTTGTCTTTCTCTCACACACAAACAATATCTCGTTGTTCGTTCTTCAGGCAGCAGCTGTGAAGGAAATTAGGGGGCGGGGGGGGACAGACACAGCATCCCATCTTTGTGCTTCACACAGAGCTCAGCTTTGAGGCCAGCCTTCCTGAACTGTGGGGGGTGTGTCATGCATGACTACCAAAGGTCAGTGGTCTGATGGGAGCTTATAAAGTGACTTGGGAGAAGCCAGTCACCAAAACGGACACCTGGATTTGGATGCTCTGTGGAAACTGCTTTCATCTTGATAAAAAGAGGTATGCGCTGTAGTGTAAAATTTTTATCTATGATAAATGATATTTAGAATAGAGAAGGTTTGTCTTCCTACCATCCCCTTTCAGTTGTACAAAAAAAAAATTTTTTTTGTTGTTTTTTTTGAGATGGTCTCCCTGTAGCCCCAGTAGGCCTGGAACTTGCTATATAGACCAGGGTGGCCTCTATCTCACAGAGATCTGCCTGCCTCTGCCTCCCAAATGCTGGGATTAAAGGCCTGTGCCACCACATCTGGCTCAGCTATAAATTTTTTACAACCACTCTGAGGGCTTTCACTAATTTTACAGACTCCATCTCATTTTTCCTAAACAAACTTCCAAGGCAGGTGTCATTAGTGCCAGTTTTCAGGAGAAAAAAGTGGAGGTGTAGATGTGCCTGTGCTCATCTGAGATCTTCTCTTATCCTACACCTCCATACACACCAGAGGAGACCATGAGAAAATTTTCTGTGTACCAAGGCAGCATCAGATGAATTCTCTAGGAGTGATCCGACTGTGCCTGACAGTAAAATCAACTGGAATTAATTGTGTGAGTAGACTATCAAACAGTATGGGGCAAAAATACTTTGTTCAGAGTATATGATTTGCTGGGCATGGCAGTGTACTCCTTTAACCCCAGCTCTAGAGAAGCAGAGGTAGGACAATCACAAACTGTAGGTCAGCAAGCTTGAGGGCAACTGGAGTTTTTAAGATCTATTTACCCATGGAAACATTTTATTCTTCCATGTAACATCTTGGAATCTAGCTCTTATTGTCATCCAGTATCTTGAGGTCAGGGGCTATGGCCACAGGGATACCAGGTGTTCTTGAAGACCTGGCTTAAGATTCCAGCCTCACAGTGTACTGAGAATTAACCTGAGTAAATTAACCATACAGAGGACATGGTGAATTTTAGTACTGGTCACCCCCTGATGAGACACTCCCTGATGGAGATTCAGTACAGAGCAGACAGGGTACTGAGGCCAGCACTTCCCAAGGAGAGGCTCAGTGCCTGTGATCAGCAGTGCGCCTGTGGTCAGTGCCTGGCCCAGGGTACACTGCAGCTTTGGAAGAATTACTTTTATGTTATTTAATAAGCAGTTAAAATTATAATTAATATTTATTTTTAGAAGTAAACTCACCAGGATAATCTTCCTGTATTAGAAGATAGGAAAATATATACCATAAATCATATGTATTTTACTAGGGTTATTTATATATACATCAATAGCAGATTCAGTGCGTGTTAAGTGAATCCAAATGAAAGGGACATGGAAAATGTAGATGCAATCAACTCCTCTTGTTGCAAGGATTTTCAACTATAGGAAGAAAACTCAAAAAGCAGAAGGCATCCCTGAAAGCAGTACAGTCAAGGGGAGTCAGCCTTGTTCTGAAATCCTCCCACAGAACTAAGGGTATGTTTCAGCCTACAAGAGAACTTCTTGTAATAAGACATTTGTCAGAGTTAGACATGGAGCTGACTTGTCACTGTCCATGGTAAAGTGAGGCTCATCAGATCTCAGAGGCAGGCATTTATTGAAAGGCACCAAGGTGGGGCATGGGAGGGAATATCGTGGAGGAGCTGTGGGTGGACAGCTGGCCCTGTTTCAGTTCTTAGAGCATTCTAAGTCTCAGCTTCCCCATCTGCACACCTGGGGGAGGGGTTGGGTAGATGTCCTCTGTGGTCCTATCCACAGACTAGAATGTATATTCTATATGCCACCCTTTGAGGTCCAATGCTCTGAGAAAGGCCTTTGGCTTAGACCTGCTGGGTGGAACTCCTAAGATTCCAAGAGCCTTGAATATGGGTGCAAAGTTTTGTGAGTTTAGGCTGGGTTTCTACAAACATTTCATCCTCCAAAATGTAAAAAGACAGGTTGTTTACATGGTGCTGGAAGCTGGTGGGAAATGGAGCCCCCAAGACTAAGGATGGTGGTCTACCACAGACTTGCTCAAGAGAGCCACCCCTCCCCCACAGCCCAGCTGGCAGCGCTCACTCCTTATATAACTGTTCTTTTGAAAACCAGGCAACAAACCTCAAGAAGAAAAGCTATTGATTATTAAAGTTATTTGGAGGTTTGGAGACACATAATAAAGTGGTTATAATTATTCCTGTTATGACACATCCTTTTAAATGCTCAGATCTGAGAACATTTTGCTTGCATTGACTCAGTCATCTTCACCATAGAGAGAAAGGCTGAGAGCTAGAAATAGCTCACGTGCAACTCCAGGCAAGAACTCACAGAAAGGGAACAGAGGCAAGACAAGTCAAGGGAGGAGACAGAAAGGAGCCCAAAGTGTTTATCCATAGCCTGCACTGACCAATACCTTCCTCCTCTAGACACTATACCTCCTCAGAGCCAGTTATGGCCACCAGTGAACTCCTGGACAGCTGGACCATCAGCTGGCAGTCCTTCCCCGGTTAAAAGCACATCATCTACGAAAAACACCCTCAGCAAACAGAAAAAGTTGGGGAGATATAACCCTGCTTTTGATTTTCATAATAACAATAGCTGATATTTACTGAACTTGCACTTAGTGTCGGATATTACCCTGAATTCTCATTCTTTCGTTTCTCTCCCCTCCCCAAATCTGTCTTCCTATGTCATTGGAACTTGTCTTCACTTGATGGTTCAAGAAATTCTCCCACTAAAGCTTCCCAAGTAGTCCCAAGTGCCACCATCCCTGGATTTATATTTTCCCATTTAATTTTCACAGAGTCATGAAATAGGCACAATTATCATCCCAACTTTTTAGATCAAGAAACAAAGGAATAACTTGCACACAGTTATACTTGGTAGGCGGCAGATCCAGAATTTGAATACAGTCTGAGTAATGCTGGGGTTCACACCTGCTGCTCCTTGTTAAAGTTTCTTGGCCAAGTCTGGATTATAGAATAGCACAGCAAAATGCTGTCAAGAGTCAGAGTTGGGGGGGGGGGCTCCTAGGAGTGTCATAAGACACTTAATATTGTGCATTGTTTTGACTTGTGTTTTATTTTTTTCTTTCATAGATCCTTTGACAGCTTCAGGGTACCCTTTGTCTATTCCCAACATACACACTGTCTTTGTGCTGACAATGAGTATCTACAGAGCCTGATACATCCAGGCCCCGAGGTGATTCTGAAGAGAATCTGACATAGTACATACCCTTGAGAAATACTCAGTGGGGTGGAAGGGTAACGATCTACATAGCAGACTAATACAGTCAGGGGTGTTCCAACAGAAGTTACCAAAGCCCTGGGGCAAAGGCCTCACAGTGGCTGGATAGTCAGATTGGCCTCTGCATGATGCAGCCCCTCCTGAGGAGAAAGACTGCTAGGGACCAGGCTCCCAGAGAATCTCTCCATCACTATGTGTCCTCAGGAGGGCTAGACATCTGCTTTGTTTCTCCCGGCTCTAGGTCTCTCCTGCAGCCACTAAGTGCAAGATGGTGACAGTGCTATTGCTGCTGTCCGTGTTGGCAGGACTCTTCACTGTGGCCAAGGGGCAAGCGTTCCATCTCGGGAAATGCCCAACTCCACCAGTTCAGGAGAATTTTGACATGAAAAAGGTAATACAAACCTCCCATTTGTTTCCTGTGTCCTGGTTGAGCATCCTGAGAGCTTCCATTTTAATTTGTTTTAATCTCCATAGCGAACCTGGGGAAGACACTTATCTTGTTTTGGGTTGCCCCAAATCAATCTCTGAGGCCAGGAAGTAGGGAAGGAGAAATCTTTGGCACCTCAGCTCACCCCATAGATGAATTCAAGCAGGCTTTGGGAGCTCCCCTGGCCCTGGCAGGGGAGAGGCACAAGTGTGTCAAACATGAGCTGGCAGTGTGTATGGGAATGGGTGGTGGCCTCTGGGGAGCTAACGGTAAGGATGGGAGATGTGGGAAAGGACATTAACCATGATTGATACACTATTATTTTCATGTCCTACAGAGAGAGGAGCTGAGTGTCCCCTCCCAGGTGTCACAACTAGTAAATGCATGCAGGATTCAAAACCAGGCCTTCCATCAGTACAGGAAACCCAGGGGCTACTCAGACAGACCCTAGAAAAGACTGGAAGTCTCTGAGAAGTGTTTTCTTGTTACCCACAATATAGCTAGTCCCCTGTAAGTAGTTCCCCCTCCTGGAATGGGTAGAGGGAGCAGCAGAAAGAGAGATGATAGATAACAAACTTAGAGGTTCCCACTGCTGTGAACTCACACCTGGTCTCTCATTGCCAGATTACTTCTTACAAGGTTTTGATCCATTTTAGGATGCAACACATCCTAAAATTCATTCAGGGGTTTGAGTACCACTGAAGTTACCAGTCACTGGAACTTGGTGCGAATGACTGTTGGGACCGTTGAAGGGACGGGTTAGGCAGAGGTGTGAGAAAAGAGCTTAGAGAATGGGAAAGGAGAGCCATCAACAGGGTGGAGGCAGTGCCCAAGGTGAGGGAGGAGAAGACACACTGAGACTGCACTGACATGCTCCACTCATCTTTTAAGGGTGTTCCTTTAATTGTACAACTCTGAGACCACAAAGAAAATTATGAAACCAAACTTAGGAGTTTGATTTTAGTTTGATGGTAAAAAATCCAGAATACCTTGGAAATTGTAATTGATATCTTCACTTACAAAAAGTTCTTTCAGACTTAAGGCAGGATATTTAAAATAAAAATCTTTACTGAGATTAGTTCATATGCTGTCTCACTGGCTTGTTTAAAGAGAGTTCATTTTCAGAGGTTTTTAATATAGTCACTGTTACGTAACCACCATTCAATCAATTTTAGAATGTTTCATTATCCCAAGAAGAAATCACAGAGGCTGCTTAACCTATCATAGTCAGGAAGCAGAGACAGAAAAGAGATGGAGAGCAAGACACATCTCTCTTTGGCATACCCTCAGTGACCTGCTTCCTCTAACTGTGACCCTCCCACCTTTTACCACCACCCAATAATGCCCTCATTTGTGAACTCATCAAGGGATTAATGGATTGACTAGGTCAGAGTCCTCAGGATCCAGTCACTTCTAAGAATCCCCCTCTGAACACTGCTTGACTCGGGGATGAAGCCTTCAATACAGGGGGATATGTAAGGATGCATGGAACATGCCTGACATCCAAACCATGACACCTCTTTTCTTCTCAGCTCCACACCATCCCCACACAACCAGTGTGTTACTTTCTGCCAATATGAATTTGCCAATGGAATCATACAATGTGAGTGTTTGCAGGCTAACTTTATAACATGATGGTTTCAAGGTTCATTCTTGTCAGGAATGAACTCCAATCCTTTTATTGCCAAATACTATTCTGATGCATGGATTATGCTTCATTTTATAGTCGTTATTTGAGTTGTTCTGCTTTTCTGATGTAGAAGTGTTGCAGCTGTGAACATTCATGCTCAATGCTTTATAGAGGAACAGGACACATGTTTTACGTTCTTTTGGGTATTGATAAAGTAGAATTGTTGATGTGGCAACTCCACGTTTAACTTTTTGAGAAACTGCTGGACTGCTTTGGAAGAGTTACACCATTTTACTTTCTTACAAAGAACATAATTCTAATTTCTCCTATCTTTCCTAACATTTGTTGTTAGTGTTGTCTTTTTTAATTACAGGTATTGTAGAGATTGTTAAGAGCATCTCCTTTTGGTTTTAATCGGTTTCCCTAATGGCTAGTGGTGCTGAATATCTTTTCATGTATATATGGGCTATTTGTGACTCTTGCATTCAAATATCATTTTAAAAACTGGGTTATTTATCTTTTAATTGTTGCTATGTAAACATTTTTCCTATATTCTAAATACATGATTTGAAAATATTTTCTCCCATTCAGTGGACTTTTTCACTGTATTGAGACACCCTTTGAGGCACAGAGGCTTGTTATATTGATGACACCCAATTCATTCACTTTTTGTTGTTGTTTGTTCTTTGAGTGTCATACCTAAGAAACCTGAGTACCCAATCAGTAAGTATCCCATTATTACAGTGAGTAGCACTCCAGTCTCATAGTTAGAGAACCATTACCTAACCCAAAGATTGGCACCTGTATATTCTTCTAAGAGTTTTATAGTTTAAGTTCTTACATATAAGCCTTTGACCCATTTTAAGTTAATTTTTGCATATAGTATTATAGAAGATTCAAATCAACTTGCACGTAGTATCTGATCCAGCATCATTTGTTGAAAACACTAACTCTCCACTGATATTCTTGGCATCCTTATTTAAAATCAGTTGACCATATATGTGAGTGTTTATTTTCAAACTCTCAATTCTATCATGTATGTATATGTCGATACTTATTCTGGCACCATACAATAGATCTGTAGCAAGTTTTGAATCAGAATGTAGGAGTCCTCCAACTTTATTCTTCCAACTATTCTATGTCCCTTGGATTTGCATATTAATTTTAGGACCAGCTTATCAATTCTACAGAGTATCTACAGAACAATTTGGAGAGTATTGCCATCTTCAACCTTCCTATTAATGAACATACGCTATCTTCCCCTTTACTCAGATCTTTGTTTTAACACTATTTTGTAGGTTTCAAAGCATAAGTTGTTACATATCTTTAAATTTATTCCAAAATGTTTGTATTCTTTTTTAAATTTTATTTTATGTATATGAACGTTTTGCCTACATATGTGTAAGGGGTGCACTGAGATGTTGGCGCACGCATCTCTAATCTGTATGTATCTGATTATTGCTAGTATAATTGGGTGCACTTGGATCCTTGCTGCCTGTGTATGTCTATGAAGTCATCGGGTAGATTTCAACGGTAATGTTTATCACCTCTACTAATTAACGTGATATAAATTTCCATGCTTCCTCCTCAAATATAATACATTTTTAAAAATTTGTTGATTTTTTTGTGTGTGTATGTGTATATCACACAGAACATCCCAAACCATCTTATTCAATTATACACCCACTTCCTAGATGGCACCTTCCATAGCTTCCCTACCCCCATTAAAGCCCTTATACTCTAATATCCCTGCTACTGTCTGCTATGTTGTCAGCACCCCAAGCCATTCCCCACTAATTGCCCTTCTGGTCAATCTAGTCAGCCCATCTAGATGTCTTTGTTTTAGGAAGGTGAGCTGTTCCTCATCTAGCAGTAATCAGTTGTCAATATTCCTTTAGATGAGATTGGAGTCTGCTGTTCATTTTCCCAGTTCTATGCTGGGTTACTATCTGGGAGTCCTTTTGGCCACCCTGCCAACAACTCAAAAGAAGGTGTCTCCTATCTGACATTGTTGCTTGTTACTTAGCCTTTATACATATGGACTCATAAATTATGTTGGCCCATTTAATCTTTGGTTATACTTTCCTTTTGGGTGTTTTTATCATTTTTATGTGTATGCATGTATTGCCTGCATGTAGGTAAGTGAACCCATGTCATGCAATACCTGTGGAGGTCAGAAGAGGCTACTGGATCCCCTGGAACTGGAGTTATGGACAGTTGTTAGCTGCCATGTGGGTGCTGGGATTCAAACCCGGGTCTTCTGCAAGAACAGCCTCCTTGATCAAGAGGACAGGTGACCCACAACCATTTTAGGACATTTCGAGAGATGCTCATAGTTCCCTGGAACTAATCAACCTAGGAGGGCAAGGAGCAAAAAGTGTCCTTTATGTCCCTCTGACCAAATTATTATAGACCTCAAAGTATGTCTGTTAAACACCCAAGAAGGTTAGTTCCACCAGTCTGGTACTTTTAATTACTGTGTGTCATGTAGATAAATCTTGGGCAAAGATCAGTTGTTCTCAGATAAACCTTACCTAGACATATATTTCTTGATCTGCTACATATAATTTGTCAGTAGGTTATAGGAGTAATATGAATCTCTCTGGTTTTCAAAACTAGCTAGGCATTGTTTATCTCTCACAGTGTCTCACCCCTCCATCATGGTTTTCCTACTTAAGGTGCCCCCATTTCCCCCCTTACTCCCTTACTAATACCTGTCTCCTATGATCCTACCTTTCTTGAGCTCCTTCTTTCCCTTTATCCCCTAGATTCCTTGTATACCCTTCCCTCCCTCCTCCATTAAACTAACCCAATTTTTATCCATATCTCCCTTACTAAGGCCTGTTTCCTACTGTTCTTCTCTTTCAGGTTATTTCTCTTCCTTTACCTCCCTGTTTCCTTTCCATTATCCTGGTTCCTGTAGTTATGTCTGGATACATACTCACTGTCCTAGTTTGTTTCTTCATTGCTGTGACAAAATATTCTAACCACTACCAACTTGTAGTGTTACTTCACTTAGTAAAACAGTTTCTAGTTCCATCCATTTACCTGCAAATTTCATGATTTCATCTTTCTTTACTCCTGAGTAAAATTCCATCGTATAGTTGAAAAACATTTTCATTATCCACTCATCAATTGAGGGACACTTAGGTTGCTTCCATCTGTTAGCTATTGGATGTACACATGTCTCTGCAATAGGATGAGTTTTTTGGGTATATGTCAAGGAGTGGTATAACTGGGTCAAATGGTAGATTCATTTGTAGTTTTTTAACAGTTCTCCACACTGCTTTCCATAGGGGTTCAATCAGTTTGCAGCTCCACCAGCAGTGGATGA